AGCAATAAAACACCCAAAGGTTTGCTATAGTGGAGCTCGGTAAAATATATACTTTTTAATAGATTACTTTTAATTAATGGTAAATGGCCTGCATTTGTATAGCACTTTACTCAGTCATTCACACACTGGCAATGGCAGCTACATTGTAGCCACAGCTGCCCTGGGGCGCACTGACAGAGGCGAGGCTGCTGGACACTGGCGCCACCGGGCACCACCGGGCCCTCTGACCACCACCAGTAGGCAAACATGGGGTTAGTATCTTGCCCAAGGATATTTGGCATGCAGCCTGGGATCAAACTACCGACCTTCTGATTAGTGGCTGACCTGCTCTGCTCACAGCCCCCCAACATAATATAAACATTTGTCATGAGCTAAAATGTTTTAGGTTATGAAAGTTGTTAGAAATGGCAGCAGGCACTTGGCACTTAACTTAAACTTATGTCAAGAGCTAAAAACAGCAGAGTAAATCAAACTTCTCTTTCAAGAACAAATCTGTCATTGTCGCCTCTCCAGCTGATGAAAACATCATTTTTGCTTTTAACATATAAATGGCCGGTAGCCTCGGGAAAAGCCGTTGCTTCCTTCCTATCGCAGGAATGCAAAGATGACTGAGTAACCTGAGTAATATGCAGGTAGAGGGACGCCTTTATCCCACAGCACCGGACACAAGAGAGATCTCTTTCATCTATTACATAAAACCAGCAACACTCCACACCTTCATGTTGCTCTTCATGCCTCAGTGATACGTAAAGACCATGTTACTGGGAAACCGCAGCACAGAGGTATGTAAAGCATTAGCTGAAACCATACTGCGGTGGGAGAGGCAAGATGACGCATACGATCGTTTTGTTTACTCCTGGTCTCTATTTTATTATTTCCCCACCTGCCACTGAAACCTAAAAACATCAATCTGATGTACCTTTTAAATGACCCGGCGCCTGGCATGCTGGTAGATGTAAATGCGTATTTATAAACCAAACAAAAGCATGGCGGCTTTGGCGCGTCATCAAGAAATAAGGAGCCAGGATGTTTCTGGAGTTGAACTGTGAAGAGGTTGGTGTCACAGTCTGGCTGGGGCAGACTGTATGTGTTCATGTGTCATAAGACCCAGGACCGTGACAGTTGGGTTTTTTGTTAAATTTTTCAACATTTTCATTGTTATTTTACCAAACCGCAATATCACAAAATACAAAATGCGAGAGGACTGGGCAAAAATAAGTCGATAAAATGTTATTCTGCATTAAATGCAAAAGAAATGATGTAAGGGTACTAGGCAAAGAAAATCTTTGTTAAGTAAGTGGGTGCATATGCAACTTTATGTGCAGCTGTATATGCAACCTATGGAATCTAAAACCTTATTTTTAGTTCTCAGAAAAGTGGGTTACGTTATTTACTCTTCTAAGACTACGTGGTGAAGGAGAACCAGCTGTGCTTAATGATTTGCCTGTGTGTTAAATACACATTTCAAATATCGACAGAAACAGAAATACTCTTTCTGTTGGTCGTAAGTAAGAAATGCTGTGAGGAATTCAGCTGGAGAAAAAGCTAATGAGAGAAACTGTCTCCATCCTTACAGGCTTTGAAAGTCAAATGAATTAGGATGAAGGCTGACCTCTAGTGTTCAAGGGCTGTCTCGACTTGTCTTGACCTTTTACAGCCAAGGGAAGCGATCGAATTACCGATGATATAACAGAGCCACGTGCACAGTTAGATCCCTGGTAGTGTTCAATCACCTGCTCTTTTAACCTCCCATTTGATAAGTGAACTTTTTTTATTAGTATTTCAGTATTTCATATTTTAATTTCATATTTAGACCATGACATCAGATCCCAATTAAGTGGAGTGGACAGTGGAGGAGATTTCAGTGGTACAAGCACGATGAAAGAATACATCGTAGCTTCCTGCTCAGTGATCGTATCTACTTCCTTTTCTATCCCTTTGAAGAAGTGAGGCTCCATAAATATTAAAGAGGTAAGTATTACTTCTCAGCTGCAATGAATAGATAGAAGAAAATAAACTTTAGAAAACTAAACAGAAGAAAGAAGAAGAGAAATAACAATTTTAACACAAACCAGTGACACACTGTGGGGCCTGACCAACCCTGGCAGGGCCTCCTTGGATGAGGGTGTCAGGTGATAATGGCCGAAACATCCGATGAATCCAAGGTCCACTACTGACGATGTGTCCCAAATTTTAATATGATAAGCTTGATCACATCTCTAATCCCTAAACCTGACCAAGGAAGGCAACCTGCTCTCTCCTGTCGCTTTCAGTTTGCACCTTCTGCCTAAGTTGTAGTTCCCCCGGTGTGCACCTCCCGACACTCCTCTGTCACCCAATCTCAGCTATTGCTTTGGTTTTCACAAAATCCACGACCACCATTTCTCTCCCCAGCACCATACATACCCAACAGCCCCTAATCACCCCTGTTCCCTTCACCTACACATTCATCTTCTGATCCAATCTACCAGTCAACCATGATCCAGCCCAACACTCTTCAGTTACACGACTTTATTCATGTACCGTTCCTTTAACGTTACCCCTACTCCAATTCTTCATCTATGCCATGATGAACAAGTTGACTCCACCTCCAGAGCACCCTTGCTCCTCTTCCACCTGGTCTTCTGCACACACACCTTATCTACCTTCCATTTTTCCATGGGTGGGCATTCTCAGTCCACGAGGGCCGGTGTCCTGCAGGTTTTAGATCTCACCTTGGGTCAACACACCTGAATCACATAATTAGTTCGTTACCAGGCCTCTGGAGAACTTCAGGACATGTTGAGGAGCTAATTTAGCCATTTAAATCTGCTGTGTTGGTTCGAGGACACATCTAAAACCTGCAGGGACACCGGCCCTCATGGACTGAGATTGCCCACCCCTGCTCTAGTCTAACCTCCACACTCCCGCTTTTCTTTCCCTCTCTGTCTCTGAATCTTCTTCCATTACTCTTATTTTGTCTTCGGCCAACAGTAACACAGTTTACACCTTCTAATGTGGGCCAACAACATCAGATGCAGTCATTGTTAACTCTTCCCCAGCCGATCCAGTATGGAAATCCTAATCTTCCATGTCGTAGTTGGCAAAGATTTTCCACCAGATGCCCTTCCTGACAAAACCCTCCACATTTGTCCAGGCTTGGACCCAGAGCTAGCAGTACACTGGCAGTATGCTATTATGTTAGCCATTACACAATGAGAAGATCCATTTGGGTCACTTGTATTTTTCATTATTAAAATGAGAAAAAACACTAATACATATAAGGTTTGCAGTGGGCTGTTTGACCTTGTGCTCATTACAAGAATTCAACTGAAAGCACATTTTCTCACAAAAGTTACTAAAACAACACATTAAAAACAGTTGTTGACGTTAATAATAGTCGCTGCTCTTTTTTTAGAACCTTCAGACAGATAGATAGCTGCTGCTGACAGACAGTTTTAGCACAAAAGGTGCAAAATATTCAGCTGAATTCCACTGTAAGCAACCCGGGCTTTACGAGTGACTGAGAATAATGGAACCCCACCTGACATGCATGCTCTGTGTGCCTAAATAAAAAAGTCCAGTAATCCCTTAAGCCAATAAAGACAGGACACAGACACAGAGATGAAGGGCAAAAGCCAAACACGGTAGCAGAAAATATCGTGTGGGTGTGGCGAGCATTTGCCCTTCCTAAATGCGCTGCAGTGATTCAGCACTCAGGGAACGGAAAGCTTGCAGTGATGCATGAAGGCAAAGAGGAGATTCCTTCTCGCATGTAAACTTGCGAAATTGTAAAACTTGAAAGGTGCAGTTCCTGCATTTATGTTGCTCTGAAAGGAAACAAATACCTGCTGTGAAGATAATGATATTCAGATGCTTTGGGCAGATGAGCAAAGTTCAACTGCAATGGAAAGTAAATGTGTTTACTAAAATACTTTTTCCACTTAAAGTGTTTACCATTTTTACGTCACTGTGTGTCACCAGTTTACTGCGTAATGTTGTTGTTTAAGGATCAGCAACAAGCACTCGTATTTGGGAAAATATAAAAACAGGAAGGGATAAAATTTGCTTTGTTATCCATATAAACGTCCTTCTGATTAGTAATATTAGTTAGTTATATTTTAATATTGAGGAACAGATGTATACGTTCTTAAACCAAAGGAAATCACGTCTTCCTCTTTTGTCGCTTAAAAGCGGAAATTCTTGAGCTGTGGAGACATGCAAGGAGACAACACGCATTACATGACAAAACTATAACAAGAATTTAGGTTTTATAAGCTCGTGCTGAACTCTGTCTTAACTTGAAGAACTTAATTACCTAACCACACACAACTTTCACAGTTGTCTCTGCTTTTTCTTACTACTTGTGTTTCTTAATATTCTCAGTATTTCTTACTTGGTTATAACCAGTGAATAAAACAGGATCACATGTTGACATTGTTTTGTTTTTGTTTGTTTTTTTACCTCAAAATAAAATTTTACATAATTCTGAAACGTAACGACCAATCTACCTGTGAGGGAAATCTAGGTTTTAGAAATGAGTGAGTGGGATTTTTGTGTGGAAAACAGTCGGGAAGCACATGACAAAGCGTATCACTAGATATTCCCCACCCTTAGCTAGCGGTGTTTTGTGTTTTGAAAGATTCCCGTCATGTGTTTCGTGTGAAGCTCTATGCCTGGAAGAACTTTGAATTCCAGACAGGATCACTTTATTTGAAAGTTCATCTTGAGGATATGGCGCTTTTCCTCGAGTTAACTCTTAATGCGCTGCTCATAAAAAATGCAACACAGTGGCTCTTGTGTACTGCTCTTGAATAGGGATGGCTTTTATCAGCTGCCTGATCAAGTGATGCATTAAATGTGCGATATGGGAGAAAAAAGAAAAGAAGCTTTTTAAAAAAGAAACGTTTTTCTTTCAGTTTTTTGTCATTCTCTCTCTTTCTTCGTCGAGTGTAGTCAGGCCTTTATCAAGTCGAGTCGTCTAATTGCTGAAGTGAAATCCTCTTAGGATCTGCGCTCTATTTCTGTTCGGCGTACAGGGTTGCTTTTGAAATCTCCATTAGACCAATTTCATTGGCTGGAATAGACACACACAAGCACGCAAAAACACACACCGTCCAGCAACAGATAGCTCAGTGAAGTGACTGAGTGGAGATCAGTGCAAGGTTATCTGCTGCTACAAAGGGAGGACCTCACTGTGACCGTGGGAGGTAAGACAACCTTTGTTAATAATGCAATAAAAAGTCACACAGGCGGGTTTAGAAATGTGAAGTTGAGTTTTGAACGAAATCGTTTAAAGTATACGAGCTATTTGGTCAGTGTGTTTTGCTTCCATACACAGACTTTGGGGCCTTTTTTATGTTTCATGTGTATAATTTACATTATGTTGCCACGTTATGTATCCAAGAGGCTGTTTTTGTTTATTCTCATTTCGTTTCTTTGATGACTTAAAGTAAAAGCTTCTGCGCAGAACACAAACAAAGAGTTCATTCTGACAGTGCTGAGTTTAGTCACGGGTCTGTGACTAATTGGAAGTCAGATGGTTACGAGACGTCAATTTCTCACCAACACACAGAGAAACAGACCTACAATAATAATAACAATAATAATAGTAATAATAATAACAAGTATAGGCTGTTTACCTAGCTCCATTTGCTAATGCTAGAGCTAATCACAGAAAAGTACATCTTGCAAACTGTGACCTTAGAGGAACTTAGACCTGCCGTCATAAAGATCATTACCCCAGATGAGCATTGTGACTGCATACAGGAAGCAGGACTGCAGTACCTGGAACCCTGGGGACAGATCATTTAATCCAATCAGATATTGGCTACAGCATAGAGGTGGATGTAGGCCAACCTACCTGTGCAAACAGCAGCATCACAGAGACATTAGGAAGCAGTGCGAAGGTCAAAAGTTTAGCAAGATGGTAATTTTACCAGTATTTGCACTAAGAATATATTTGCACTAAGAATATGCTAATGCATCTAAACGTGTAGTTTCTGTTGCATTCACACATCTGTTTTAATCACTAAATTTGCAGCATCACTGTGATTGTGTAATCTTGTGTTTATGATTGCGTTTCATGATTTTAGTGACCACATTCATCAGCTCATTCTTCAAGCATTAGCTTTAAGGACTTACAGCAAGCACGCAAGTCTGCCGCAGGTCAGTAATCCTCTTAGACTGCATTAATTTAATTAAAAATCGTGGAAGTCACCGGATATCCAGTAGCAGTGACTCTAAATCTGTTGCAGTGACAACCCAAACATTATCTAAATCATTAATGGTGCCATGTCGGCATTTTCTCAATTTTCGTCCTCCAGCTAACCAACCAGGAAAATGTCTGAGCGACTGATTGACTTGGAAGAGACCGCGACCCAAACAGGTGAGGCGACATGGCGTTTAAAACCTCACACAGGTACTGACACTTTGTGTTTATGGTGTTTTCACAAACACTATGAGATTGTTCATCAAGAAAATCGTTTTTAGAGTAAAAAAGCAGAGCGAAGTGTAAATCTGCAGAGTCTGGGCACTTCAACCTCACGTCCACCACTTCATCAGCAACCTGACAAAGATTAGGGTCGGGCTGTGGCTCAAACACAACCTAACGCAACCTGACATGGGTTAGGATGTGTCTGAGTCACATGGTAAACAAGCATATCTTAAGAAATTAGGACAAGCTACTGTTCAAATTAAATCTCAAGCATGAATTTTGGCATCACAGTTCTCCGGTCATAAACATTTCCAATCTACCACACGGACGATTCTATAAAACTGGGCCGTGTGTGTTAAACTGTAGTGTAGAAATAGAAGAAGAGTTTGCTGACACTCTTGCACATCTTTTTAAATAAAATTCTCTGTGGATGTTTTTTATTGTTTGAAAATCAAAGCTTTAAACAAGCCATCAGTACGGTGGCCCTGAGAGGCCAAACGGACTGGAACTTAAGAACACACCAGCAATAAGAAAAACGCTGCAAAAGCACACAAAACACAACGGATTTAGGAAAAAAGAAAACAAAAATAGGAAAAAACTGCAACTGGTCCGTCGGGTTATTGTCTCCCCACAAACACTTCCCTTGTGCTTTTGGAAATCTGTTTTTTCCTATTTCCGTTTTTGTTTTTTCTATTTCTGTTTTCTTTTTCCTGTTTCCGGTGTGTTTTGTGTGCTTTTGCAGCATTTTTTTTATTGCTGGTGTTTTCTTAAGTTGCAGACCGTTTGGCCTCTCAGAGCCACCATACATCAGTGACCTGGAGGATTGTAAGACGTTAACAGATGCTCTAATCGTCTTTTTATTATGCAACACGAAGGTAACTGGTACACTTCCTTATCCATAAGCGTGACCAGTGGTTTCAAACATAAATATATACGACATCACTGTTAAAACCAAGACTTGTATGACTGCTGCTTTATAAAACCACAGCTCCCACACGCAGGACTGACAGACTGAATTAAATCCTGTCTCTTGAAGCATCTGTCTTCCCACTCCTGTTTCGTTCTCGCCACTCTGCGTTCATAAATAGTTTAGCACAGACATTAGTAATTTCCCTGAACACAAACAACTATCTGCTTTCTCCGTAGGCCCCAAAGGGGTGATCAATGACTGGAGGAGGTTTAAGTTGGAAAGCATGGACCAAGAAAACTTGAATCCTGCAAAAAGGGAACTGCTGAGACAAATGTCATCCCCCAGCAAAGCAAAAGATACCTCCAGAGGAAACCTTAACCGCAAGGTATGACACAACCCAGTTCCCACAGCGCTAAACCAGTTCTTAACTCCGATGTGCAGGAAATTGTAGAAATTCTCAGTTAATTTAGAAAACTTTAGCCTCGAGCAGCAAATGTTTGCCATTCCAAATGCTGCACATAAATATCAACCCAAAAATGTAACTACTGTTTTAATACACTTCCTTCAGATGAGTGTCCAAGAGTATGAACTGCTTAAGGAGGAGGATGAAGGATGTCTAAAGAGCTACAGAAAGCGGTGCATGCAAGAGATGCATGACAAGCTCAGCTTTGGGCCAAGGTTTGAAGGCGTGTATGACCTGGACAGTGGAGAGGCTTTCCTAGAAGTTATTGAAAAGGAGCATCACAGCACGGTTGTGGTTGTGCACATCTACAAGAATGGGATTAAAGGCTGCGAGGCACTCAACAGCTGCCTTGACTGCCTGGCCTCTGAGTATCCCACCGTAAAGTTCTGCAAGATTGACGCCGTCGCCTCCGGTGCCGCCGAGCGCTTCTCGGATGAATATTTACCCACGCTGCTCGTGTACAAAGCTGGAGAGCTACTGGGAAACTTCCTGTCCTGCACACAGCATCTAAATGAGGAATTCTTTGCTACTGACGTGGAGGGTTTCCTCAACAGCTACGGCCTGTTGCCAGAGAAAGAGCAGCCTCAGATGGAAGACGATGAAGAGAACAACATAGAGTAAATGAAGAGTTTGGCTGCTGATGAAGAACCAAAGGAAGAAAGATCTAAGAAAGACAGTTACATTAAAATATGAAAATATTGAGCTGGGTTTCAATAAATAGGCAAGCGTAACATCTCCACCAGCGCTCTAGTGTTTTGGGATCGTTGTCTAAAGGAAAAGATTGACATCCAGTTGATGACGAAACATCAGTGACCCAGATATGGGTGCTTCAGAATATGGGCGAGACAGTTACAGTAATGTGAGGAGAGCAGCTTCTATTAATACAATATATATAAATATATATATTTAGAGAGAGAGAGCACAACTCCCCTCACCACTACCCCGATACAAGCCAAAACTGTAACACTGACTCCAACGCTGTATCTACTTGTAAAAATAATGATTAACAGGGTTTTTTTGTAGTTTTTATATTCGATTCAATTGAGATTTACACAGGCTGCTTGTAAAAATCAGGGTTTGTACAAACAGACATCCCCAAATGTGTTACACGTGTATGTTTGATGTATCCCGGGTGCTCTGACAGCATTTAAAAACAGAGGAAGTAAGAAAAAGATCAACGTTTCGCAGCTTCATTTTCATCACTGTGATCATAGACGGGTTCATTCATGTCTGCACAGGTCATACTGGGAATTGGAAACAAATGGAGGAAGTCACAAAAAAGGAAATGGTTAATGTTGGGGTTCCTGTGTGTAATCTTACCCCACAAGTCATGACTCAGCACAGTGTCAACATCTTCGCATTTAAAGTTGCTCACGCCAGGTTTCCCTTTAACCTTTGTATTAGTATTTAAGTAAACATACTCCTGTCAGTCATAATAACAATAATAATAAAAAATCGAATGTTTGCCATTGCATTTCATTCATACACGATATAGATTTGGGGGTTTTAAAGGCAGGGTGAGAATGCTCACCACTGTGGCCAGGAAGTCGCTGATGGAGTCCACAACATCTTGCATTAGTAGTTCCTGTTCAGGTGGTTATAAAGTAGTGAGTTTGGGCTTTTTCAAATTGTAGAAATTGCACGTTTCATTTGCGGCTCAAAGAGGAAGTAAAATTAGGATTTCAAATGTGTTTAAGCCTTCGGACAGAGCGAGGCTTTTCTCCATTTTCCATTCATACTTAGTAAAACTAAAATACAGTGAAATTTCACACAATTTCACACATATTTTAAGTCTATATTGAACCTAAGCAGCAGAGGATCGCTTCAGAATTTGCCAGGAGATGAAGCCAAGAATTTTACTCTGTCATCTGACGACTTTTTCCTTCACTCCCACCACCTCTGTCTACACTCCACACACTTAAACCCTTTAGTTTAAGTGTGCGTACTTTGCGTAGATTAAAAGGCCTGGTGTAAATACTCTCGAGTTTAGTAACTCATCTTGAAGTGAAGTAAAATTTTCAAAAAGGGATCAGAAAAAGAAAGTTTTCAAAAGTTTGCATAAGGTTACGGAAGAAAAATAGTGTGCAGACGGATGCTGTCGCGTGTATGATAACTTCATCTGTATCGAAGCACAGACTTGACTCACCCGTGACCCCCTGAACTCCTGGCATGCTGAAACCACAACTTAATTTTTTGTTTTCCTTTTCAGTGATGACTTGCAATAACCCACAATTTAATTTGCAGTGAGCTAAATCAAACAGCCTGTAGGAAACAAGGTTTGTCATGAAGTAGATAATAGGATCATATAAATTCTTATGGAAGGTAAGTGTTTTTGTGTTATTACCATATGTGTGTATTTTCGAGACGCAGTTCGCCTCTTAAAGCTCAGACAGCCTCCAGACAGGTTTCCTCCATCTCGTCGTAAATTTATCAGAACTATATTATCATACTTACTTTGTTTAACTTATAATCAAATCATTAAAACCACATTTTGGGAACAACACTTGAGAAAATAGAGAAGCTTTATAGAAATAAGACACATTTACCGTTCATGCTTCCTTCTTCTCAAAAGGCCGTCCTTAGTTTACTGCTTTTCTTACTACATTTATCGTTTTCATTTATCAGACTTGTTTTTTAATCTTCTGTCCACCAATGATTCGACAATCTTCAGCTTGACTGAAAAGCAGGAGCGTCGGACATTATTGCTCAGTGACGGGCGCGCGTGTATCTGAAAAGGCTGCAGTTTTATGTGTTTCCGGGAAAGTTCATCCGTGTGTTCTCATTTAATGCGATGCTTCAACTCCATAACAGTTTGAGAAAAAGTTGAAGAGGTCCCTTGGAGGACTTACCCAGGTCGTCAGAGTTGTGCACTGACTCAGAGGCGCAGTTTACCTTTGGACTATGAAGCTCTAATATGCTCACCAAGTGCCACCACCGGTCCCAGTTACTGGAGTATCGCACCAAATTGTCGTGAATGAACTCAAACACTAAAATGGTTTAACAGCAAACACCTTCTATTCTGTGTGAATAGATGTGTGACATCTAACAAACAAAATAGACACAGCATATCTGCAAAAACACTTCCTGCTGACTGTGAAGCATGGCGGCGCAGGGGTGATGAGTTGGGTTTGATTTACAGCCACAGGACTTGGGCACCTTGGAGTCACTGAATCATGTATGAAATCCTCTGTCCAATTTCAGATACAAAATTTAGCTGAAACTGGATCACGTGACAGGACAAATGACCACGATCACAGCAGTGATGACCATTTCAGACTCCAGACTTCTTGCTGGTAAAGATGGTCCCACAACCTAACGTATCATGGACGTATCAGGTTAATTGAACTGGCAGGTTTCATGCTGTAAGGCAGGGCTGGGCACCTCCAGGCCTCGTGGGCCGGTGTCCTGCAAGTTTTAGATCTCATCCTGGGTCGACACACCTGAATGACATGATTGCAACTTCAAGACGTGTTGATGAGGTAATTTAGCCGTTTAAATCAGCTGTGTTGGTTCAAGGACATCTAAAAGCTGCAGGACACCGGCCCTCGAGGCCTGGAGTTGCCCAGCCCTGCTGTAAGGCAAAAAAAGGGGTTAAATTTGACTAATAGGGGGTCACTTTATTTGTTGTAGGTTTTGTAGCTTTAGTGATTTAGAAATTTGGAAAAGAACGTCCAAGCTTATTTCAAACTTTCTGAGGTGAGGGGGGGTTGTGGCTTCCTTGGGGGGGAAATTACATTAAGTCTCTTATATACAGTAATTGCCTGTAAGAAGGATTTCTAATGAATATTGAAGCCAGAGCTGCCAAACTGTTACACTCTTATAAATATTCCTCTAAGGATCTACGTGTGTTTGCCATTCCACAGTAGCGCATCTCGCATGACTTGCATAGCCTCTAGCTTTTATTGCATCATTTTTACACCATAGCGTCTCTATCAAAATCTTTTGGATACTTTCCACAGAAGCCATCGGAGCAGAAAGTGGTTCAGGGTGCCCAAACACGTCAAGTCTCGACTACTACAGCACTGTTTGCAAACAGGACAGCCATCGACTTCCTAATAATATGGTGCAATGTTTAAGTCACACTTTAGTCAATCTACAACCATCTATTCCTGGCTTTTGGCCACAAGTGAGTGAGGCAGAAGACACAGTGAGTCATCTTGGAAGAGCTGAGGAAAGATCTTTTTAACGCCATTAAGAAATGAGGGTATATTTTACCTCGATGCTTATCTGAAGGGTCGGCCTCACATGAGCCGAGTTTCCTGAATAACTGCAGAGTGAAGTCCAGAAAAACATTTACACAGATACAGTAAGTCTTTCCTCTTGGAAAAGACCCCATACATGACCTGACTCACTGCTCCACTCAAACAAATGTTTATCTCACTGTTTACCCATGCTCCGACCACCTGATTCCACCCCCATCCTGACATTTTGGTCCCCCCTTTGTTTATACTCCTTCGCTAATTGGAACACTTTTTTGTGCTTTTTTTATGTTTGGAGTCTTGGAAAGCCCATCCGTCGCGCTCTAGTTCACCCACATAAAAAACAGTTTAACTGAGGTGATGTCATGACACAGCAGGACACCCGGTTGGAAGCACGCTAGACCAAATATGGACACCGGATGTTTGGCAGATGACTTAACTGCCTGTAAGAAAACCTATTTTAAGTAAAGTTGTTTATATATGTTGTTAAGATCCTCGTGACTCATGAAGGTCAGCGATGAAGTGATGATGTGAGTGTTGGGCCTGGTGAGCTTTCAGTACAAACAAGGGGCAACTTTTTGAACGCGTGGAATAAAGTCCAACGCAATGCAACCGCCACAGCAACACGGCCTCACAGAACGTGATTGTTGTTACCAAAACAAAGGTGGGGGGAGCAAACTTTTCAAAGAAATGGGGAAGATAGAGGATGGAGGACTCAGTGGAGGATGAGAATGAGTAACACAGCTGGAACGGCTGCAGAAAAATAAATTATAGTGCACAGGAGGCTCCCACCTCCTACTTTTGGGTTGGTCCTATTGATGTTTCACACGCTAGGCTCACTTTACTGAATGAAAGGACCGAAACTTGAAAAAATGTCAAGGATGGTGTAAGAGATGAGTGGCTAGATTTCCAAAGGATTAACTTCCTGCAAAGTTCTTTTGAAGTACTCTCATCTTTGCTGGATTTAAGTAAATGTCCCCGTAACCATGAATCACATCTGTTTAAATTCAAACACCACAGGCTGGAGTGTCCATGCTCCTGCCTTTAATGCTGATGACAAGTCCTGACAACTGTCGGTATGGTTGACTCAGATTAAGAGGTTTTCACTGTAATGTTGCTGCAGCTTACTGTACACGTTGGTATCCAGGCGTGACGGCAGACTGTCAGAAAATAGCTCCGCTGCCTGCAGCAAATGTTTGCCTTAAAACTTCTCGTGTTCACGCTTTTGTCTCATGGAAGTCTCATTTTCATTATGAACCAACAAGCCACTGAGGTATTTGTCCAACTAGTCTCAACAGTTTCTGAATACCAACAAGGTTTATGTCACAAAGGGACACAGTAAAATGTCTGAAACTGAGACTTCCGAAGAAATTCCACCCAAGAGCACTAAGTGAAAGTGTAAGTGGCTGTGTAACAAAAGAAAGGAAAAAACACACACAGCTGCACACATAAAAAGAAAACATTCACACTTCAACCTTCTACAAGTAATTAAATGTGCTGTGTAATACGGAGCATGAAGTTATGAAGGGTGTAGCTCAAAGATAAGATTAGCTCTGTTGCTCCTGTACGGAGCAGAGGAATCACATTTATAAAGATATTCAAGTTATTACTGTAAATCCATAAGGACACAAAGCAAAACTTGCATGTGCATCATAATAGGCAGCTAGCTAGATCGACAGATACACACATCACATGTACAATTTCAATGTAATTTTGTTATATGAGTGAAATGACTTTAAATTTAATCTATTCAAATATAATCTGTACACATTCAGTTTCCACCTAACACAACATCCTTAATGATTAATTATTTGAATAAATAAACCTATGATTTCATATGTTTCAGCTGCATTTTATTATCATTATTATTATTTATTTTAAAATTGTTGGTCCATGTTTCTAAGGGCCAACGATTGTTTTTTAAGTGTATAAGTTTAACACTTATCAAGACCCACACCTTTTTATAAATCCATACATCCATCCGCTTCCGCTTCTCCTTTTCAGGGTCGTGGGGGCGCTGGAGCCTATCCCAGCTGTCATAGGGCGAGAGGCGGGGTGCACCCTGGACAGGTCGCCAGTCTCTCGCAGGGCTAACACACAGGGACAGACAACCATTCGCACTCACATTCACACCTATGGGCAATTTGGATTTTTCAATTAACCTATCCCCACAAAGTGCATGTCTTTGGACTGTGGGAGGAAGCCGGAGTACCCGGGGAGAACCCACGCAAACACGGGAACATGCAAAGTCCGCACAG